TGATGGGATGGGGTGCATTAGCACACATGGCATGGGTGACCTGCATATCTGTGAAGGCACCATTATTGCTGAACGATATATACATGTTTTGGCAACATATGCTGCCATCCAGATGACGTCTTTTTCAGGGAAGGCCTTGATTATTTCAGGAAAAACAATGTCAGACCACATTTTGCATGTATTACAACAGCATTGCTCTGTATTAAAAGAGTCCAGGTGCTGAACAGGCCTCCCTGCAGTCCAGACCTGTCACCACTGAAAACATTTCGTGCATTGTAAAATGTAAAATACAACAAAAGAGACCCTGAACTGTTGAGCAGCTGAAATCCTGTTTCAAACAACAACGGGAAAACGTTTCACTTTCAAAACTACAGCAGTGTCTCCTCAGTTTCCAAACGCTTACAGAGTGTTGTTAAAAGAAGAGGTGATGAAACACAGTGGTAAACAGGCCCCCGTTACAGTTTTTTGGAATGTGTTGTTGGCATCAAATTCAACAGAGGCACATATTTAAAAAAAAAAAAAAAATCACATTTCTCAGTTTTTACGTTATATGTTGTCTTTGTAGTATTTTCCTTTACAAATATGATTCACCTGATTTGCGTGTCATTGCATTCTTTTTTTATTTACATTCTGCACCGCATCCCGTCTTTTTTGGAAATGGGGTTGTATTTATGGACCCAAATGTTTGATGAATTATCCTCCTGAAGTACTGTTGAAGTACTGAAGTAGTGTTGAAGAACTTTTCAACACTAGTGCAACACAGTAAAGTAGTTCCAGTTACTTTCACTTTCCCTGAGGTTTCCTGATATCTTTGGTGATCAGCCAGAGTCTGTGATAACTCACTACACCAGTGACAAAATACCACAAATTCCTCCCCCTGGAAAACGACCCCATCTCTGAAAGGATCTACTTAACTTACAAAACTGAAAACGCAGAGCATTTACTAAGCAATTCAGCAGCTGCTCATCCTTCTACTAAGTGAGTCTGAAGAACACAGGTTTTCTTTTCTAAATTCAAATTACTGTGTGACTTTACGCTACAGGTGCAGGTAGAGATTAGGTTGCCAAAAAATAAAAAAGTGTTAATCTTTACATTGACATTCTGTGTGATATATGAGTCTTTGTATTTATGCATCTGGATATAACAAACATCAATTTAAATATCACATTCAAATCAAGTTTATGCTGTGAGAGTACTCAGAAATAACATTATATAATAAATACATAAACATAAATATTTCAGTGCCCAGTGTGTAAAACATAACTTAAATAATCAAATAAAAATACAGAATTGACCTTCCACCATCTATTTCACAACCTGCTACGTACACAATTACTCTGATCACTGTCTGATCTCATTGACTGGTTGGTTAATTGTTCTGTTTTCCTTCTTTTTCATCATTTGAACATACATACATGTATATACACTTTTTCACACAGTAGGGCTGATTGTTCTTCATTAATCCAGGCACCTGCAGTGGGTGACTATAGCAGTGATTTATTCCACAGTTGGAGTTAATTCAGCCATCAGCTGGTGGGTGATTCTGTGAGTGGGGTGTCATTTAGCCTGTTGTAAAAACCCCGTAACAGCGAATGAGCAAAATCTTATTCATTTCAGCGGAAATTAATGAAATAAATACTAAATAATAATAAATTTCATATGCAAAAATTTGAATCAGGCTCAATTTTGGTGAAATTTGACACTCAAATTGGGAAGAAGTATGGAAAAGTGAAGGAACTGCTTATCATCCAAAGCATACCGAAGCATGGTGGAGGTAGTGTTATGGCATGGTCATGTATGGCTGGGAATGGAATTGGTTTCCTTGTATTTATTGATGATATGACTGCTAACAAACACAACAGGATGAATTCTGAAGTCAGTCATCTGACTTCAATCCAACCGAGCATTCATCTCACTTACAGAAGGTAGAACTGAAGGTAAAGCACCAAGAACAGGTAGAAAAGACAGCTGGAGTAAAAACCTGGCAGAGCATCACCAGGGAAGAAACCCAGTGTGTGTGAAATTCACATCAAACTTGACTTTGGAGAACTCTGACGCTCGAATTCGCATCTGCTACCAACAGTGCTGTTACTTTGGCTGTGCTGACCTCTGAAGAGGTGGAGCCTCATACAGCAGCAATAAACTTCCAAAAGGAAGATTTAATCAGTGTCTAAATACAAACCTTCAAAAACATTTCTTTCCCGCTGGCTAAAAACTTTCAGACTTTCCATTATTTACCAGTGCGACCCCTGGTTCCTGTCACCACCACTGTAAAGGAATCTGAGTCTCTACAATTATACATTTCGCACCAAACCACTCTGAATGACTAATTTACACAAAATATAGATGCTAACGATGGTAAAATAGTGGAAAATCTGAAAAAAAAAGTTTTCTTTGGGGACTATTTTGCCCTGCATATATCTCTCCACCACGAATTGACTTAAAATTACATATTAGGCCAAAACTTTCTCAAAACAGTCTCAGTCATCAGGCAGTGAATTCATAACCATGTCATGTAGTAACTTTCTGTGAGGGAGCTTTTAGAGGTGGACGTCTGGTTCCTATCACCACCACTGTGAACAATTCTGACTCGGTCAGATTCTCTAGAACAGAGCGTTTCACACCAAACCGCTCTGAAATTATGCAGACATTTTGAAAGATTCCTTCATGCAAAAACAACACAGTTTTTAATGGTAATATTTCAAGGTGAAGTACATTTACAGCATTTGGCTTTCCATTTGATCATTTTATACAGGTAGGTGAAGGTGGTGTTAGGAGTCTTGACCAAGGACTCTTATTGGTATAGTGTAGGCTACTTGCCCAGGTAGGGGATTGAACCCCAGTCTACAGCGTAGAAAGCAGAGGTGTTACCCACCAAACAGGTTTGCAGGACACTTTAGCTGGGATTATCTTTCCATTCATATTTGTCTAAGTACTATCAGTCGGAAACAAATGGCGCCTCAATCATGGAATCACTCAGCAAACTCCCAGCACATTGTGTGTGTGTGTGTGTGTGTGTGTGTGTGTGTGTGTGTATGTGTGTCCTCAGTAATACATTGAGTAGTTGTCATGGAGACAGTTCTGGCAAACATGGCTATCAATTACCCCCTGCTGTGTCCCTATTAGGGCCCTTTCTTGCACATAAGGAAATTTACAGTATGTAATGATCACCTGGGGCAGAGCTTGCGTGAGGTGAGGAATTGAAGGGTGAATTATATAAATGAAAAGGGGACGTATTTTACCCCCATAACCCCCCAGCAGCCGACTGTATCCAGTAGAGTCAACTCAATGCACCACTTGCGCCGGATTTCTCATAGCTGACTCGAATACACTGGAAAACTGAAATACTCAAAGCCTGGAATAACAGAATTATGCAGAATCAAAGTGGTTTGGTGTGAAATGGTTCATTGCAGAGATTTAAATGTCTTTACAGTGGTGGTGATAGGAACCAGGGGTTGCCATGACTACAACACAAATATAGACATTTTATTTACTATCCAAAACCACCAGTGAACCTACACGAGTCTTCTGAGTTTTATATGGAATGTTGATGATGGGAAAATAGTGGAAAATCTGAAAAAATAAGTTTTCTCTGGGGACTATTTTGTATCCCTCCACTGTGATGGATTTTAAGGCCCAAATCTTCTCAGAAGTATCATAAAATAGGCAGCATATTCATAATCAGTTATGTGATTACATAACATTATTACATAACATTTTCACAGCATTTCATGTAATAACTTTCTGTGGGGGAGCTTTTAGAGGGGGACGTCTGGTTCCCATCACCACCACTGTAAATTCCTAGTAAGTTGTTCTGGAACATCACTAGCGTTTCACATTAAACCTCTCTAATTTCATTTATTTACACCTCAACCATGTAATTATTCAGAAGTTTTGGGAAATCTGTGTTTTAATAGTGTGAAAAAAAAATACTAAATATTAAATATTAAAAGAATAGTTCTGTTTGAAAAAGCTACTATTGCTAACAATAAATCATGGCAGCTTTCGAAATGGCAGCTATTGGCATTATATTCTGTTCACTGTTAGCCACGTCAGCACGTTTAGCAAGCTAAGGTTCCGGATTCGTTTTGCAGTTTGCAGTTAGTGTTTTAGCCAAATAGAATACATTTAAATACATGAAATAGACTGCCAGTTGAAACTGGACTCTGGGGATTTTATTAAATGAGGGACACCTTAAGTGGTCTGGCTAGTCAGATCTTGGCTATTTAGCTAACTCTGTTGTCAGTGGGATAAGCCATACTGTGTGGTGTGTGTTATAGCCAGCCTGTAGCACAACAGCACAACACAAACAAAAGAAAAAGGGTCAAACCTAAAGAGAAAACCTCTAAAACACTTTAATTACATTAACATGAATTGAAAACGATGTCCTTAGCTCTGCCAACAAAATGTTTCTCAAAAAGAAATTTGAACGTTTTCTCAACCTAAGAGTCTACAATTATTTTATGGCATAAAAATACAAATGCTGGAGTTTTTAAACACTGTGTCCACTCACTGTCCACTCTGTTAGACACTCCTACCTTGTCGGTCCACCTTGTAGATGTAAAGTCAGAGACGATAGCTCATCTGCTGCTGCACAGTCTGTGTTCGCCATCCTCTAGTCCTTCATCAGTGGTCACAGGACGCTGCCCACAGGACGCTGCTGACTGGATATTTTTGGTTGGTGGACTATTCTCAGTCCAGCAGTGACACTGAGGTGTTCAAAAACTCCAGCAGCACTGCTGTGTCTGATCCACTCAGACCAGCACAACACACACTAACACACCACCACCACGTCAGTGTTACTGCAGTGCTGAGAATGATCCACCACCCAAATAGTACCTGCTCTGTGAGGGTCCATGGGGGTCCTGACCACTGAAGAACAGGGTAAAAGGGGGCTAACAAAGTATCAGAGAAACAGATGGACTACAGTCTGTAACTGTAGAACTACAAAGTGCACCTATATAGTAAGTGGAGCTGATAAAACGCTTTAACAACACGCTGCTGTTGTTAATCCCTACCACATTTTGTTTCACCTAGCCTTTGAGCTCAGGCAAGAGATTCATCTGAGAGTGACTGACTAGCAGTAGCGTCCCCTTCAGGATGCACCTGAGCATTGCCACCTGCTTTTTGCCATTGAAGCTTGCTGCTGAACAGCGGTCTGTTTTGGGCTTTGGTGGGTGCGTTCGCAGATGCAGCAGAATCTGCGTTAGCAAGCGAGATCGTGTGCGAATGACTAAAGTAAGCTCTGACGGTGTTGCGGACGTTAGTAGGCAGTCGGATGCGTATGGTGTGGCGCAAGGTTCCAGGGCTTTTGCTGGGAGCAGGCTGGCTCGCGTGACCTGGAGAGACGCTAATGCTGTCCACTCTACTGATGCTAACAGTGTGGCCCTCACTAGCAGAAGAGCAAATGCTAACTACACGGCCAGTGTCGTTTTTGCTAACATCTTCTGCAGATTTGCTAATGACCTCATTGATGGAGAAGTCTGGGGCACGGTGGCTGCTACCAGCAGAGGCAGTACTGCTAAGCACACTGCTAGCATCGTCCTCGGTCACCTTGCTTGCACACACACAGCTGTCTGTTTCTCCAACATCATCACCGTCTTTGTTGCTAACTGGTGGTTTCCCTAGCGATGCCGAATGTAGCACCAGTGGAACATTTTGCCTGTAAAACAGTGTTTGCGGGATGTTTACCTGTGCTACGCTACCTGTTTTACCTTCGGTCTCTACGGTAGCCCCAGGAGCATCGGTGGCAACACTGTGCGCAACCCCTTGACTTTCCTGACTTTTGAGGCGAGACTGTTTCAGTGTCACCCTGCCCACAGTGGGGAAGAACGTGATTTTCATCCTGTTCACCCTGTCTCGTCCTGAGGGGAGCGTGAGATTGTGTTTGTTAGCGGATGTTTGTGCTATGTGCGCATCAGAATTCGAGAGCGGCCGCTCCAGATGAATGTGAGCAACAGATGTCTCCCTTTTCTCATTATCAGGCATCGGCTGATGTGTGATCTCCTGCGAGATTCCTTCATCACTGCCAGGTGTGTGGGCGTGACAAAGAGGTTCAGGGTCATCTTGGCTCGGGCATGTCTCAACAGAGCTTACACCCCCAGTGGAGCTTTCTGAACTATTTTTCTTTCTTTCTTCTACCGGTATCTCTCTATTTTGGACTCTCTCCCCCTCTAGTAAAGTTTCTCTGACCTTGCTTTCTTTTGCCGCACTCTCTACATCTTTATCTTTCTCCGTTGCTGGCACTCTACCCTGGCTTCCCTCTCTTTCGTTTTCATCTTTACCCTCGTCTTTGAAGGTACAGGGAAAGTCTCGCTCTCCATTACCATTCTGTCCATCTCTTAGTTCTGCCTCTTGCTCTTCGTAAGTAAAGGCCATCTTCCACAGCTTCCTGGGCATCTCCGGAGTTAGCGGGCGCAGTCTGGCGGAAGCCCCGAACAAAAAGGGACGGGGCTGGTTGTCACTGGGGCTCGGGATCGGCTCTGTAGAGCTGAACGACAGAGCGCTGTCCAGTGAACTGAGAGAAGAAGTGGTGGTGGTGGACGAAAGACTGGACATGCTAGCAAGCCTCTGCGCAGGATGCCGGAAACGTCTTGAGAATTGCGGAGATTTCCAGAAAGCGTAGCGTCCTTTTCCTGTTCCGCCTTTACGAGCAGGTAAAAGTGGGCTGAATCCTGTCGTGTCCTGTGATTTGCCACTTTTACTGTCCATCACAGAGTTATCACAGCTAGACTGGCGGAGAACAGGGATGTGGGGCGAGACCTGTGTTGCAGGAGTCACCATGCACATGGAAGGTTCTGAAAGGCATCGGTTTCTAGACTGGCTGAGTTCTTCAATGCCAAGCGAGCTGACCGACGCACTGGATCTCGACGGCTTCAAGTTTAATGTCCCACAGCTGTGTGCCCCACCTGCCGCTGCCATGGTGATCTTCAAGGGATGCACCTCTCTGTGAAAAGTGGTCAGAGGAAGGAAGGAATCGAGATCTGGAGAGTGGAGAGGAGAGGAAAGCCCATCCTGATCTGTCTCTTCCGAGGAGGAGTGGAGGAGGAATGTGGCATCAGCTGGGGGAATAAAAGAAAGAAAGACATCATATAATGTCTTTGTTAAAGGTTACAGAGAAAATGGGGTTCCTAACAACCACCTGGAAGACCGAGTAAAGTGTCCCCATCAGATAAAAAGCACTTAAGGCTTTCATCTTTGAGGGAGAGGAGAAAATCTGAAGTGCCTCAAATGAGCACCAGTCCCACAATTTCATAACACCCTTTTAGAGAAATTAGAGCTTTTGAGCTTATTCACTTTCTTGAGCTTGTTGGTGTGGAACAAGTGTCATTTATTGATTTGGGCACTCAGGAGAAAACTTGGTCCCTGGCTCATTTAACAGCCTGTGGTGAAACTTACAGGATCGATTTTTCTACCTGAAGGTACGTCTATTGGAATCAGATCATTTTGATATTTTTTGTGTTTGCTTGCTTGGTTTTATCCACGTGTAATCTATTCTGTCTGCCCCAACGTTTTGCTACAATGCACCTTTGAAAGCTGTTAAATTCATCCTATTTATGTTTTGTCATTGAGCTTCCATTTTCACCAGGATCTAGGACTGTCCCACTGGACCAGCTTGGTGTTAAGTGTCTCTGTCACCACTCGCCGAAAGAAAAGGTGCGACCTATCGAGTCACAGCCGTGTTCTCTGACAACTGAGACCCACCGTGACCCAGTTTACTTTCTGTTGCCATGAAATGAATCAGTATACATGCACTGCATTTCAGGGGAAGACTAATGCAGCCATGGAATCCTGGGCTAGATTCTTTTGTAGGCTCCATGTTAGGGCTGTGCAATTAATCATACTTTCAGTCATTATCAAAATATGCATGTTGTTAAGGGCTTAGCAAAATGCCAATTACAGAGAACGAGCGCAGCTTCAATATCCTTAACTTGCTTAGTTATGTGCAAATGATCAGATCGGATTCGTGTGTCTAGACATCACCAGTCTATCTGCATGGGTTGCTGCTAATGACGTAGTTGTAACTACGTCAGTAACTACGTAACTACGCTGGTGACGCGGGTTTCAAATGCAGACGCAGGAGAGATGAAGATGCATCATCTCGCCCTCCAAACTATTCAGAATTGTCTGGCATTAGACTGAATCTTTGGTGCTCTTCTTGAATCCCAGCCTGTCCTTCACTTTGAAGTGATGCACTTTGATATCTGATTTGGGCAGCTAGATCATCCAGATGCATCTGTAAAAATCTGATTGATACCACATTTCAAACCACCTCCAAATGTGGTTTGGATCAGATGTGTTTATTTGTTTTTTTTGTTTTTTTTTTTGTTTTGTTTTTTGCTGTCTAGACCGTCAAAAATCAATCTGAGTACAATCTGGATGTGCCAAAATCAGATTTGGGCTGGCAGTATAAACAAAGTTTTTACTTAGCATTAGCATGCAAATTGTTAGCAACCCAGTATTTTTTCACCTGGTTTACAAAAGATAATATAAAAAAAAAATCAGCCTCCCCTGCTGGTCAAAACTGGTATAAGCTTTTAAGTGTTAGCCAATATTTTTATTTTTCATGTGGTAATGGGGAAAAATAGTGGGGGAGGTTTTTGATGACTGAAACTGTGATGATAGAAATATTTTTTCTGCTGAACTTGAGTTCAGTTGGCAAAACTTATATATGACATGTGACATGCTTATGGCATGGTTATGACAACGTTATATAGATGAGTGAAGTAAAGTGTTTGCTATTGCTCTTATGTGTTCTCCCATTAAAATGCATGAAGCAGTAACAACTAGTGTTACAACAAATGTGCAACACCATACGAAGCTTTTCAGAGAATCATGTCCTGCTGTATCTATGAGGGGAGCACAGTCAACCTCCCAGCTGGACACTGTTTAATATCCTGGTGTCATTATAAGTTAAACCAGAGCAGCACACTGAGTTAGACTATTGTTCAAAAATTTGGAATCAGTGTTTATAATCATATTATAAACAATCTGGAACAAAAGGAATATTTATGTATGTGGGTCCTGTGCTGTTTCATATATTTCAAATAATTACTAGGTATTCTAGGATGATTAAATATTAGATGTAATCAAATTGATGAAAAGAACTTTAGAAAAGAAGATTGCAAAGAGCCTACGAAAGCTTTGGAACATCCACAATAATTCTCTGCAGTGCAGTAACACTGATGTGGTGGTGGTGTGTTAGTTTGTGTTGTGCTGGTACGAGTGGATCAGACACAGCAGTGCTGCTGGAGCTTTTAAACACTGTGTCCACTCACTGTCCACTCTATTTGACACTCCTACCTTGTCGGTCCACCTTGTAGATGTAAAGTCAGAGACGATAGCTCATCTGCTGCTGCACAGTTTGTGTTGGTCATCCTCTAGTCCTTCATCAGTGGTCACAGGATGCTGCCCACAGGACGCTGTTGGCTGGATATTTTTGGTTGGTGGACTATTCTCAGTCCAGCAGTGACACTGAGGTGTTTTAAAAACTCCAGCAGCACTGCTGTGTCTGATCCACTCAGACCAGCACAACACACACTAACACACCACCACCACGTCAGTGTTAGTGCAGTGCTGAGAATTACCCACCACCCAAATAGTACCTGCTCTGTGAGGGTCCATGGGGGTCCTGACCACTGAAGAACAGGGTAAAAGGGGGCTAACAAAGTATCAGAGAAACAGATGGACTACAGTCTGTAACTGTAGAACTACAAAGTGCACCTATATAGTAAGTGGAGCTGATAAAATGGACGATGAGTGTAGAAACAAGGAGGTGGTCATAATGTTATGCCTGAATGGTGTACATTCAAATGCAAATTAGTAATTTGTAAGTTTTTTTGATTTTATTTTATTTTTTTTTAGCAGAACTGAGATCTGCAGTATTTTCCTGAAGATATCTGAATCAGGCGTTTACTCTAGATTTCCTCATCGGCAGATTCCACTGCAGCTAACAACCCTGTCAGTCAGCTCTTTATTCTCGTTTTTTGCTCCACAAAATTCTACAGTTTGACTGGATATAAATCAAGTTTTGTTAAAACCTAAATCTGCCACATTTCAGCTAAGAGCCTGAAACTTTAACAGAGAGCAGCAAAGTTAGTTTCGTTTTCACAGGAATGGATTTCTTTCTTCGGTAATTTTAAATTGATGGCACAAAATGTTCATTTGTGTAAATTACTGCCTTTTTAAACTCGTAGCACACGTTGATTTCTGTGGACTGAAACCGCTGAGTGCTGATTAGGGACCGCCTACAAATTCGATCTTCAAAGTCCGAGCATGACGTGCCAATATGAAGCCTTCTGATCCAGTACAGCCTTTTAGCGGAGAGAACACAAATCATGGCCAGTTTAGAACAACCCCTATTTATAATTATTGTTAATGAGGAGTCTCAATTAAGATTTCTATAGAATTGATCTTTTGATTATGACATGATAACAGATTTTTAACAAATAAGGTAAATAAGGAACAATCCCAGGAAAGCAGTATAGTTTTAATTATTAATTATGTTGCATTTGATCCAGTGTACTGGATCATCCTACAGCGATTACTTGCTCCCCTCTGTTTCAGTCTCAGAGTACTGATTTTTTTTTTCTTTTTAAATTCACTCATTTTTTTTCCTGGGGAGCAAAGCTTGCTTTCTGAACTTCAACATTCGAGTATCCATGTCTAAATTTAAAGAAATATACTATTATACAAATTTGTCATCTTTATGTTTGAAATATATGAACAGCTCCACTTAGATTTGGCTAAATGTGAGATCAGTGATCATTTCTTTGAGGCACAATTAGTCAAAAAGTTGTTCTGTTTCTTCAAAGTTAAATTGCTGTAAATTATTTTTCTCTTTTCTTTAGTAAATTATGCATCTTTAATTAAATACAAGTAATCCAAAAGTAACGGAAAGTGATCAGATTGCATTACTTTAGTACAGTAATCCTTTGGATTGGGTTACATTTGTAACAGGTAATCAGTAATTTCTGTTTCTGTAACAAAATACATTTTTAAAGTAACCCCTCCCCCAAACCTGCCTGTAACCTAAGAATAGCTCAGTCAGTTTGCACTGAAGTCCCTGTAGATACTGAATAATAAGCCTTAGTATGTAATAAACATGGGATTTTAAGGTGTTAACATGGCCTAAGGGGTTTTTTGTGCTTGTGGGGTAGCTTCCTATATCCATGAGGGCCGGGGCCCCTGCTTCAGCTCAGGTAAGCCTGTGCGTTGATCCACTTGTGTCAGAGATGACATTTTTGAGTAAATGGCAGACGGATGCCATCGCAATCATCCCAAAGGCATTAGCAAGTAAAGTTCAGGCAAGCCTCACGTTCTTCCCACACTATGCAGGAGCTTCCCTTATAAGCCTCTTAGGTTCACCACGGCTTAAACAATGCTCTTCAAATGCTTCTGACTCATAGCTCATGGATACAAGTGGAGAGTGTGGAAAGTGTGGATTCTAACCTTCCAGTCCACATTTGTAAGCAGAAGTGGAGATTTTTTATCACGATTTTGTTGTGTGGTGTTGAGAATTTTCTAAATTTGACATCAAATCACACAGAAACCATTCAGAGTGGTTATGTAATTCATTATGTAACTAACTACACCATTACGTATAATAATGTCATTATATTTAATGACGATAGTGCCTCGAGACGTCCATTAGAACCTCAGCCCAGTTGAAGCTAAATTGCTAAACCGCTGCTCTAAACACTCTAAACACTTCGGCGACAAAGCATAAAACACAGACCCTCAGCGAGAACAAAGAAAGATAACAGAGCTCAGTTCACTTTGGTTTCATACCAAAAAAAAAAAAAAGAGTGCTGACCTGCGAGGTCGTCTGTTTCCTGCGCCGCGTTCAACAGCGCGGCAAACGCGCTTTCCACTTCATCGCCAAAGATGGTGGGGGAGCTTTCTATCAGGAATCGGACGAGTGCAGCCACCTGGACGCCGGCAGTGGAAAAATAGCAGAGAAAACAAGTGTAAACACGAAACAAATCACCAGTGTCAGCACCCTGAACGGCGTCACATGGCACAGCTTCAGGAATCAGGCCTTAACCCGCTTACCTACCGCATCATAGAGAGACATTCAGAGATGCTGTTCCCTTTAACTCATCCAAATCTGACCCCAGAGCAGTCGGACCACAGGCATGTCCACGTGCGCATGTCGCTAATGCATATTTTAAATTCTGCTGCCGCCTTCTCTCTCAACAAGAAACAGACGGTGCAACTGGTTCATCAGTTCGATCCCCAGTGATGCTACAGTCGTCTAAAGCCTTGTGGCCTTGCTTTCTCTGGGCAGGTAGAACGGCCTTCGCTATGCCCCTGTCACTCTAGCTGACACAGGCATCTGTTAGCTGACAGAATTAGCAGTTAGTATTCTCCTCTAAGCGTGTTGAGCTGCTTGAAAAGATGTTATGAAGCTTCATGTCTCATTAATTAACTCATTAATAACTTTCCACACCTCATAGCGGTTCCTCTCCAGTGGATACCAAATGTCAGGAAAGCCAGAGCCACAAATAAACTGACTCTAGACTCGATGGAGGCAGTAGCAGAAGAGGACAGTGGCAAAACTAGAGAACATCTTGAACCTTCAGCACATTCAGGCGCTGGCTTATTCCACCAAAAGGTTCTAGCAGCACCAGCGCCAAGAGTGCTAACACACCACCACCACGTCAGTGTTACTGCAGTGCTGAGAATGATCCACCACCCAAATAGTACCTGCTCTGTGAGGGTCCATGGGGGTCCTGACCACTGAAGAACAGGGTAACAAAGTATCAGAGAAACAGATGGACTACAGTCTGTAACTGTAGAACTACAAAGTGGACCTATATAGTAAGTGGAGCTGATAAAATGGACAATGAGCGTAGAAACAAGGAGGTGGTCAGAATGTTATGCCTGATCGGCGTAGTTCTCACTTCACACTTTACTCTAATAGAATAAATCAGTATTACAGGCCAGAATAGGTTCTAAATCGCTTGTCTAAAAACTAGTCTTGTCTAATCTAATCTAGTCTAGACAGAAACTAAAAGTCATACAGATTATATCTGCTGTAACGTACAGCAACATGTTTATGTTCTTCACAGGTTACGATCAGCTGGGGCCAATAATGCGATTTTATTTTCGCTTTACACCATATTAATCCAGAGGGTGATGCAATACTGTGCGACAACATGGTATAGAACAAAAAGAACATTGTGCCTTTAAATAGACATTTTAAACTTTTGCAGGGATGCAATCAATCTGTTTCTCTCACATTTATCAACATTAAAAAATTAAAAAGATATTAGTAGAAAATATGAACAGAAGACAGACACACTTAACATCTATGTGCATCACAAAACAAAACAATACAACTATTTGAGTCCCTGAGTCGCCACATGGGAGCCACCAGAGCTGCTAGAGTCACCAGAGCTCCTTCTCTGTTGGCTGGTCTGCACCGTTTTGACCACCATGGAGTTTCACGCTGTACAAAGCTGTGCAAACCTCACCCTCATGAACTGACCCTCCTGCTGCTGCTGCATGAACTCAAACTATCTAATTAACCATTGCTCCACCTGTTTTGTACTCTAATATTTCTCTTTGGGAGTTCCTCCTTGCCACTGTCGCCACTGGCGACGCTCATGGGGGCTTGGACCTGGATTTTTCAGCAAAGCTGCTTTGTGACAACACCTGTTGTTAAAAGCGCTATATAAATAAACTTTGACTTGATATATACTGCACACCTTTAAAATAACTTTGTCACGCATCGGGAAGATTCAGACTTCATTTCCCAGCATGCATGTGGAGATCACATGTCAAAACAACTTCCCTCCGACTCAGAAACCAAAACAGACTCCATTGCCCACAATCCTTCAGGAGATCACATGACATCAGACAATAGCACACGCACCTATCAGCGCTCCCGATCGCCTGAATACTAATGTGGTGCACCTGTGTATCTTGTCATATGACCGTATTAGTTCAGTATATAAGCCCGGGCTTTAGATGTAGACATTGCGAGGTACTGTTTATTCCAAGAACTTACTGAGCGTTATATTTCTGATTGTCTTTGCCTGTTATGACCTGTGCTTTGTTTCCCTGACCTTGTTTTTTGCTTAACCCCTTTGTTCTGCTGCCTGCTGTTTGTGGATCTGTGTTTTTGACCTTTTGGCTTGTTTTTTGACCACGATTTTTGCTTTTTCCCTTTGATCTCGACTGCCTGGTATTATCACGATTGTGATCTGGCTGGCTTTTTTGGATTTGACCCACGTCTGTTTTCTGACCACGGCTTTGCCTGACGATAATAAAACAACTGTTGCACCTTTTATCTGCGAGCGTCTGAATTCTGTTGAACCGTCACAAACTTATTAGACTCTGTACACTTTTGTGTACTGTACACTCTTTACATAGATAAGCAATATACTTAACACACAATTGAATACATCAGTATTATGTGCTTTATTTATACCTGTATTACACAAATTTATGTCATATCTACATACAACTAAAAATAAATAGTACCTATAGCAGATATTTATAATATGCACTGTTCTGCTTAACTCGGTTAGATATTTTATATAGTTATTACTTGGATATATAGATAATATTATACTTGGACTTGGCTCCATTTTACGCAGCGCAACCTTTTGCACTTCTGATAGATGCTAACTGCGTTTCGTTGCCTTGTAGGTGTTCTAAGCATTGGGAATAAAGCTGAAGTCTATCTATTTATCCATCTGTCAGTGAAGAATAGTAAGAGGACGATTATGACGAACCGTGAGTAATAAAAATATAGATAAATTATACAGCTTTTCTTAATGAGCGATGTTGTTTTTCATGTATGCTGAAGGCCCTTTGGCATGCGGGGCCCCAGAGCACTCTCCCAAATGACCCTGATGGTAAATCCAGTCATGATCAAATCTCACAGATCCACCTTTGCCCTGTGCTGTGGTTTAACTGTGCAGATGGCGGTAATTTATTGCATGCGGTTTAAGAGATTAACAATCTGTTTACTTTAGTTCAGTGCATTGACAACAGCAACTGTGTGTGTGTGTCTGCATATTATGCATGCGAGTTGCCAACCGCCCTGCTCGTTGCCCAAGTATAGAAGGATTCAGGGCGTAACAGACGTCAGCGAGAGGCTGTTAAGGCCACTCCACTTTCTGCTGTGAAAAGGTCTTATTGCATATGTACAGCTGTCCAAGCCTGCACTGCACGAACACTGTCTGCACGTAAACTGGAAATTCAGTCAAAAACAGAAAACCCTCAGAGCTCTCCATTCAGCTCACAGCACCCTCCCGACGGCTACTCATTTCCCGCTGTATCCCACCATTCAGACGCCCTTCATCTTACAGCACTCCACAATTTACACGTTTGTGGAAAACACTGCACAGAGTCAAAAAATCCAGTCAAGGTGTGTAGCTGCTTTCAATCAGTTAGAAACTGTGTAATAATATGACACATTTTCAACCGTGTTTTGTTTTTGCATGGAGGCGCCCTCAAATCTGCTGTTCAAAAGTTTGGGAACAATGTTTTCAGTAAAATAAATTCAAAGTTAGATGATCTGGAATAATAAGAATAACGTTCTAATAAAATTAACATACATACATATATAGAATTCGAGAATTTCTTATTATTTGGTGGTGTTGCTGGTAGGTCAGGACCCTCACAGAGCAGGTACTATTTGGGTGGTGGATCATTCTCAGCGCTGCAGTAACACTGACTGGTGGTGTGTTAGTGTGTGTTGCGCTGGAACGAGTGGATCAGACACAGCAGTGCTGCTGGAGTTTTTAAACACTGTGTCCACTCACTGTCCACTCTATTAGACACTCCTACCTTGTCAGTCCACCTTGTAGGTGTAAAGTCAGAGACGATAGCTCATCTGCTGCTGCACAGTTTGTGTCGGTCATCCTCTAGTCCTTCATCAGTGGTCACAGGACGCTGCCCACAGGACGCTGTCGGCTGGACGTTTTTGGTTCTCAGTCCAGCAGCGACACTGAGGTGTTTAAAAACTCCAGCAGCACCGCTGTGTCTGATCCACTCAGACAAGCACAACACACACTAACACACCACCACCACGTCAGTGTTACTGCAGTGCTGAGAATGATCCACCACCCAAATAGTACCTGCTCTGTGAGGGTCTGTGGGGGTCCTGACCACTGAAGAACAGGGTAAAAGGGGGCTAACAAAGTATGCAGAGAAACAGATGGACTACAGTCCGTAACTAGAAATACAGAGTGACACTATATGGTCAGTGGAGCTGATAAAATGGATAATGAGTATAGAAACAAGAAGGTGGACCTAATGAAGTGGCCAGTCTGTATATATTTATATATTTATATCTAATTTTTAAAACTGAAATGCAAGATTTTTGATGTTCGGCACTGGATAACATACAAACATATTAAGCTATTAAGCTCAGCTCGTGGCAATTTACTGAAAAAACACAGGAGCTCCTTCATCACACGGGTCCCACACGAAAAGATCAGAATCATCCCACCCGCAGATCTCAGATCAGGGGAAACAGCAGGGCACCTCTACATGTGAGGGAGGCCACACTTGTGATCTAATCTCTCTCTCTCTCTCTCTCTCTCTCTCTCTCTCTTTCTCTCAGTCTCTTTCCTGTTTCATTTCTATCCTCTCATCTCGACGTGCTGATGCATATGGATGAGTCAAGCAAACAAGCGAAGGACGAATCAAGCTTGGTTCAGTTTGTAAGCTGTGTTTTGTGTTTTAAAGGTCAAGTTTGCTGACCTCTAATAGCCTCTAATAATGCCTATAATGAAGGCATAGAGCAACTGGGCAAATTGTACTCTATTCAGCTCTATTCACTTTTATTCATGTAGCACTTTTCATGCTGCGCAAAAGTCAGAGGCCTCAATTTATCTGTTTTTCCAGAAAAAACAACCATGAAGTACAAGCTCTTCATCTTTCAGGAAAAAAAAAACCAGGAGTTTCCAAATCTGGAGGTTAAAAAATGATTGAAAACTACAGAGAAAATGAGACTCCTAACAACCACCTGGAAGACCTGGTAGACACCAAAACTGTCCATCAGATAAAATACAGTCATGTCATAACTGAGGTTTAGGGGGAGGAACATGCCTGAAAACCCTCCTTCTAATCTAACACCCTAAAAGTTGCTATCTTCACCTTCTGTTCCTGTGACAAAGAGTTCACAATCCTCACCGCCACCACATCTCCTCCCTGTTCCTCAGTCCCACATCGGTTCTACTACAGCTATGAGCCAGAAGCTGCCCAGAAACTCCAGCCCAAGTTCTCAGAGTTCTTAACAATTAAAGCTTTCATCTTTGAGAGGGGAGAAAATCAAGCTTGCTTCAGATGCCCTCACTGAGAAAAAGAAAGAAGAACATTTGAAAACTGAAGATCTGGGGTGTCTAGTGAGGTGATATAGAAGGATGAGTCGAAATTTGAGAGCTTTGCAAGTTTTGGGGTACATAACAACATCTGGAGTTTGGTTTGTTTTTTTATCGAAGGCATCATGAATCAATAAGACTAGGAAGAAATTCATTCTACATGTAAGATAACGACCCCAAGCACAAGATCAAGATGCATATGAAACAAAGAAGCTGCTGCTATCACTGAATGTGTTTGATTACTTCAAAAAATGATCAACCAGCTTCTGAGACTGAACTTTGGAGGTGTGTCTGCAGATTCTTTAAGGAACTGAAAGTGAGTCTCCTGAAAAGAATGGAAGCTGGAATAAAGGTAAAGAGTGACAGCTGATATTAGGTTTAATTGTCGAGGCTTCTGTGTCATTTTTGTTGCCCTGAATAACAAAAAAATGAATAACTTGTACTTAATGGCTGTTTTGTAAATTTAAAAAATGAAGACTGATTTTTGCACAGTACTGTATCATGTCTGACATTTGTAACTGAGAGAATTGGTGTTACCTCCAGGTTGTTTTGGTTCTCCTGCTCTGCACTGCAGGGTGATGATCTCCACAGCATGTTGGGGGTGATGCACAATGCCAGATTAGCTGCGGTCATCTGATTTACATCTGCGTTGGTGTGGATGTGGTGGAGCATTCCAAACACATAATACAGCAGGGAGCGGTTTACCTGGGGCAACTTCGCCAACACACTACACAAAGACAAAACAGCAGGTAAACACAGGAAAATAAATAAGTAAACAAACAGGTAACACCAGCCAGGTGCTAAGCCAACAAACTGTAGACACTGAGAAAGAGGAATGCAACCAGCTGGCAAAAACGAACAAGAAAACAACAAACTGCAACTAGAACAACCACCATGAGCAACGTTATATTTACCAGGGCTGTCAAATGATTTTGATTCAAGCACAATATTTTGCTACATCATCCTTTAGAGACTTGTGTCTGATTTCCTGCTAAACATATAGAGCTGTGCATAAATAATTTGGTACATAAATAAGCTGTTCAAAACTATTTATCTTGGCTGTAAGATTATATAACATCTGAATAAATGCAGCTGTATTCATTGATGCTGCCTCATGTCTACAACTACAGCACACCAGTGACAATATCTCAACATAAAGCACTTCCTCTCCTGTATTATTGCATTTTGTGGATGTATTGTCAAGAAAGATTTGGGTGACTATTGAGTTCCACATTAGCCCCGTAGTTCCAGTCTAGAACTAAATTAGCCAAATTAAAACATCAAACATTTCCTGGCTGATCGGCTGTGTTTTGAGGTTTGGTGTGAAGTCATATTTATGGCTGGCGATAACAATAGCCTGTTGTAATTAAAACATGGATTATTTCTGACTCGTAGCTCATTAAAACGTCTTAGAAAAAGTTGTCTTTCAGCAACTGTGTTCTTTTCTAAACCAATTTTACATCCAGGACAGGTTTCAGTCAGGTTTTAGAGTCCTTCATAGTACAGAGTCTGCTCTTCTTAAGGTTTTAAATGACCTACTTCTAGCTGTGGATTCTGGCAGTTGTGCTATTCTTATTCTTTTAGACCTAAGTGCAGCCTTTGACACTATCGACCATACCATCTTGCTAGATCACCTGAAGTATGGTGTTGGCATCCAGGGGGTAGCATTAAAGTGGTTTGCCTCATATTTAGAAAATCGAACCTTCTCTGTTAGGTTGGGTCAATCTTTCTCTTCCTCTCCAGCACCTATCACTTGTGGTGTTCCTCAGGGATCCATTCTGGGACCTATTCTTTTTTCTCTATATATGCTCCCTCTTGGGTCTATCTTCCAGAAATACAATATCTCATACCATTGCTATGCGGATGACACACAGATATACCTTCCACTTAACCCAAGCAAAAAACTGTTCCTTACATCTTTTGTTTGATTGTTTGAGGGATGTCGAATGCTGGATGTCTAAGAATTTCCTCAAGTTAAACCAAGACAAAACTGACATTATTATCTTTGGAAATCCTGCCTCGGTTAGTGTTATAGCCAATGATCTGGGACCTTTGATTACTAATGTGCGTGACCACGTAAAGAACCTTGGTTTCATCTTCGATACTAACTTAAACTTTGAGAAACAAGTCAGCACAGTTGTTAGAGGAAGTTTTTATCAAAAGCATCCTGTCTTTTAAGGACCTGGAAACAGTTATCCATGCTTTTATTTCCTCTCGTGTTGACCACTGCAACTCACTGTACCTGGGTATCTGTCAGTCGAGCCTGTCACATCTGCAGCTGGTCCAAAATGCAGCTGCACGGCTCCTGACTGGTACCAAGAAAAGGGAAAGTATAACCCCTGTACTGGCTTCACTGCATTGGCTCCCAGTAAAATACCGGGTGGAATTTAAAGTTTTATTGTCTGTTTTTAAAGCTCTTCATAACCTGGCTCCAAGTTACATTTCTGACCTCCTTCACCTTCGCTCGACCCCTCGTGTTTTACGCTCCTCTAACCAGTTGTGTTTAGATGTTCCTCGCTCTCGTCTGAAATTCAAAGGTGATCGGGCCTTTCTGTAGCTGCTCCAAAACTTTGGAATAATCTTCAACTTTTTATAAGGGAATCAGCCACAGTGGACACTTTTAAGTCCAACTTTCTCTCAGGCATTTGAGTCCTGAGCGGATTATGCTATTAGTTGTCTGTTTCGTCTTGGTTGACTCTGTCTTGTCATCAGGTTCTTTTACATGATTGTTTTATTGCTTTACTGTTTTTCGTTTCTTTTATGTCTAGTTTTTTGTATTATTTTAAAATGGGTTTGTTATATGATCTTATTGTACAGCACTTTGGCCGGCACTCGTTGTCTTTTAAATGTGCTATATAAATAAAGATGACTTGACTTGACTAAAACAAGTTTAGAAATGGTGTGAAAAGTGCAGATTGTAAACTTTCAATTCGTACTACTTCAGAGTTTGTAAACAGAAGAGAAGACGTTTTACTATGATTTAAATTTGATGAAAGGTTGTTGTTGTGCACATTCTTGTTTTGTAGAAAGATATGGGCCATTTTCCATTTTGATGGAAAAAAAGATGCTTAAAATATTTGACACAGCTCAAAAAGTCGGTATGTACGTTTAGACAGTCAACCTAAGATTAAATAACACTTTTTCCTGATTTTCCTGATGATTTTAGAAACAATTTTTAATATAAAACAATATTTTAAGAGGTTTAACTTAGGAATTTGTATAAAACAGATTCATGTTTACTTTTTATATCATTAACGTTTTACTACATTTAAAAAATATGTATTTTATTTTAAAAAAATCATCAGAGAGGAAGCATCTCAAGGCATGAGAAGGCAAGTCACACTCGCTCACTATATTTTTATTAATAATTTGTTTATCAAGTTTGTTTAACTTTTATGAGTTACCAGAGTTATGAGCTTTAATGGCTAGGTAATTAAAATTTTGTCAAAATAATGTCATATTATAATTTTTATTACTGATTTTAAACACACAAGGTCACCTGACGACCAACGAGTCAGCCAGTTTACAGAATCCTCAGTTTTAACCAGAGCGTCACTGGAGTCACCGTCACCGGTTTACACCACATTCATACAACACCAGTGACTGTAAATATGTGTGAATTAAGCTCTCCTTTCTATATATACGATAATAGGAGATGTTAATGGACAAATTAAGATTATTTAGTTTTGGGATGAAAGAAACTGATTTTTTTTTAAATGTATCCACCTGAATTCACATTCCAAATGGAGAATGACTCATAAATATCTTTTACTTTTTTGCCATGTTTCGAGAAGTGCAGGCTGTATACAATGCAAACATAATTGATTTCAAGATAATTATGTAAGATATTATGCAATTATATTTCATAGCATAATGACAGCCTAAATTCTAAGAGTTAACCTGAAACTGCATTGAGTGCTTCTCTGTGCCAGACGTTCATTAATAAAGCTGAGGAACAGAAATTGGTTTAGACTCTTGAGCAAGCTCTCTTAGCTTGAGAGGCGCTAACAGATCTCCGAACCATATGCTAATGAAAACGACCACAGCAGAGGTATAAAAACGGCTGGCAGCGCAGCAGCTCCAGAACATGAATAATGAAAGAGCGCCTCATGTGAGTAAACCTGGGTGAAGACATGGTAAAAAACGCTGCTTTTAATTGTGCTTAAAAGCTCAGTCGCATTAATAATCGCCATTTTTAACGTGTTATTTTTGACAGTCCTAATATTTACATTCAGTAATTATTTCAGTTTCTTCATCAGATCAGTAAATATGTTATATATAAATAATACGATGCAGCATATTTCCAAACCAAAAACAAATATACAGAAAATATATGCATATTTGTTAAATATAATATATATCATATACATATAGTATAACTGTAGGAGTATATTGTGTTGAAATAAGCGCAGCTGCAAATATGACTACATTGAAATATAAAAATGCTGTCGGAACCTCGTCTGTCCACTTTTGTCATTTTTCAGTTTTTGACATAATGTGAAAATGCCGGTTGCCCTTTACATTGTCTGCAAATTCCATGATGAACGGACAAACAGAAACGGCCCAAAATGACTTGGAAAAATGTCTGGTTCCATTGACTTACATTAAACCTAGAGTGGGTTTTTTCCTTCTCCTGTAAAGTTACCGTTTCGCTGATACGAGGTTTTGTTCCGACAGCAGTGATATACATATGACTGGCACATCAAAGCACTGATGCACATCCACTGTCTGCAGTATTACTTTCTCTTGTTCTGGATGAACTTTATGCACATAAATTATATGCCGACCAATCAGATTGGTGCAGTAAATGATTGTTACACGCCCACAGACACCTGGTGAGATTTAACACATTGATCAGGTGATACAACAGCTGATAAAAATGTTATGATGTCAGACGATTCTCAGTTTATAAACAATATTGGGCTGCATTGAGGCTCAGAACTGGCCTATAACTGTATAGACATTCCCTGTTTAAACCTCAACTGCGTTTTAATGATGAGCCTCCAAAGCGGCCAACGGTTGTGGTGGGAAGCGATTTGGCTCGCTGTAAGCATTAAGCATTTTGAAAATACAGTCCAGTCAATAATAGTGTTTGATATGGATATGAAATGAAGCAGTCAGGATGTGACTGAAATGTCGACTTTCAGCTTTAACTCAAGGGGTTTAACAGAAATATTGCATTAGCCGTTTAGGAATTATGGTCATTTACAAAGTCCTTCCATTTTCTCAGGCTCAATAGTACTAGGACAAACTAATAATTATAAATACAAGGATTATTTTTAATGTGACTGCCTGAAGTCTGGAACCTGTGGACGTTACCAAATGATCCTCCCTTGAGATGCTTTGCCAGGCTTTACTGCAGCCGCCTTCATTCGCCGCTTGTTTGTGGGTCTTTCTGAATCCTTTTTTGTCTTTAGTCAGTGAAAAGCATGCTCAGTAGGGTTTGAGGTCAGGTGACTGACTCAGCCATTTAAGAACCTTCCATTTTTCTGCCTTAAGAAGCTCATGGGTTGCTTTTTAAGGTTTGTTTAGGGTCATTATCCATCTGTACTGTGAATGCTGTCCTACCACTTTTGCAGCATTTGACTGGACTTGAGCAGAAAGTATAGCGCTATACACCTCAGAATTCATCCTGTGACCCAGTTCCAGTGGCAGGTATACATGCCCATGCCATAACACTACCTCCACCATGTCTCACAGATGTTGCAGTATGCTTTGATGAGCCCTTCCTTTCCTTCCCTATACTCATCTCTTCTTCCATCTGGTACAAGTTAATCTTGATTTCTTCTGTCCAAAGAATCTGCAGGCTTTTTAGGTGTTTTCTAGCGAAGTCTAATCTGGCCTTTCTGTTACTGAGTGTTATTAGCGGATTTCATCTTGAGAACATCTCTTGTATTTGCATTCATGAAGACGTTTCTTGATTGTAGACTTTGACAGTCATACAGAAACCTCCTCTAGAACATCCTAGAATTAACAAGGGGTTTTTGATGTCCATGTTCTGGTTCTTACGGGCCTTTTAGTGTTGCTAAGCTCGCCAGTGCATTCCTTCTTTTTAAGACTGTACCAAACTGTTGATCTGGCCACTCTTAAAGTTTTTACTGTCTCTCTGATAGGCTTGTTTTTTTAGCCTGATGATGGGTCCCTTCACTTGCATCAACACTTCTTTGGACCAAATGTTGAAAGTTCCTATAAACATCAAATACATATTTAAAACTAGGAATCAACTCCAGACTTTTTTCTCCTTAATTTGAAGCTCTAATAAAATTAACATCCAGAATAAAGTTCTAATAAAATTAACATCCAAAATGAATTTCTAATAAAATTAATATGCAGAATAAAGTTCTAATAAAATTTACATCCAGAATGAAGTTGTAATAAAATTAATGTCCAGAATGAAGTTCTAATAAAAAATTATATCCAGAATGAAGTTCTAGTAAAATTAACATCCAGAATTAAATTCTAAAAAATTAACATCCAGAATGAAGTTCTAATAAAATTACCAGTAACACTTTCTATGAATGTCACCTTTGTAAGCATCTATAAGCACATTTATAACATGTTATAATGTATTCATAAGGCATTATAAACATGGTTATACATTTTTATAAAAAAGAATTACACTGAATTACACTTTATAGCCATGTTTATTATACATTATGAATTGTTAATATAATGCATTATAAATAGTGTTCATAACACGTTATAATGTCAGTGCCAAAGAAGTCAGTCCCAGCTTGGAGAGCGTAAAGTAAAGACAAATACCAAGCTAACGGTGGTGAACATTACCTTTCCCACATTGGGTAAAACACTGATGGCAGCTCTAGTTTAAACTCTGACATTTGAAGCCTGTAATGTGCTTTACTGTGTATGTTTTAGTGTTTCAGTAAATCCTTCAGTAAATACTTCAACTTGAAGCCTCACTCTGAACACTGGAGGAGGCTTTAGTACAGTACGCTTCACTTTACTTAGAGCGGATAAATACAACTTATGAGCTCTTATAATTTGTTATGATCAGTACTTATAATGTATTATGTTAACAATTCATAATGCATAATAAACATGGCTATAATGTATAATGCATTTTTTAAATATTTATAGCTATGTTTATAATGTCTTATGCATGCATTATAACATGTTATGAATGCGTTTATAGACACTTACAAAGGTGACATTCATAGAAAGTGTTACCAAATTAACATCCAGAATGAATTTCTAATAAAATTAATATGCAGAATGAAGTTCTAATAAAATTCATATCCAGAATGAAGTTCTAATAAAATTAACCTCGAGATTGAAGGGAGGCCACATCTGGCCGTAAAGCTGCTTATCAGCTAAATGTCCAATTACTTTTAACCTGTGAAAATGGCAGGAATTTCGACAACTTCATTTAATCATTTATCTCGGGGTTCTGCCATACGTCCCTCATCCCTGGATATATATGTTGGAAGTTTATTTAATAAACAACAAAGTATCTGAATACCTGTTTCCCCTCACTGTAAACTCAAAGTGCCCAACTGATAAATAACTAGCACATCATTCGGCCAGATGGTCTGAGAGTTTAAACACTTTTGCGCATTAATTAATGTAAATAACATGCATTTGCATGCGTTCTTCACTGTTGTCATGACCACCAAAAAATGGCAGTGGCTGTGAGTGTGGTACTCATGAGGGTGGTGCAAATCAGTATCATTACGCAGATCACACTTTGCTGGCTAATTAGGATTCAGTGAATGTGTGACGGACCTCTTGGCGGAGGTGCATCTGTCCTGCTGATCATCTGCTTCCATCACCTCCATCCAGTCTTCATACAATTCACAGCCCAGTACACTATCTGGCAGCCGGCGCAGGAACTCCTACACACACACACACACACACACACACACACACACACACACACACACATATGCATGCAAATGAGTAATGATTCCTCATGTTTAAACATACAGTGTAATTAGAGAGGCTCTATAATCCCGTAGAGAACACGGCCCTTTATATTAAAGTAGAACATACAGTTCAATGTTAGAGTCACAGACAGGATCTGATGATGTTTACATTTCTAGACAAATAACTCATAACAAGAATTTGAAATAGAGAAGCAGTCAAAAAGGTTGGATCCTATGATTGCTTGTTTTCCAAGCATATACTTGGAAAGTATATCGCTGTTTTCGGAAGAAAACCTCGTATCTCCATTTTTGACGTTTTTCAGTTTTTGACATTATGTGAAAATGCCTGTTGTCATTTACATTGTATGCAAATTTCATGATGATTGGACTAAAAGAAATGACTCAAAATGACTTGGAAAAAAGTCTGGTTCCATTGACTTACATTAAAAGTAAAGTATGTTTTTTCCTTCTCCTGTAAAGTTACCATTTTGGAGATCCGAGGTTTTCTTCCGACAGTGGTGATTTACTATTTTTAATAGTGAAAATGAGAATTTATGAACTTAAAAAAAAACTGAAATGAAATGTTAAACATTTAAATAAAATCTAGTGTTTAATCAATTAGAATATTTTTATCATTCCTTTTATATATGCTTCATTAAGGCTTATTAGGAGAAATTAATTTTAGATTTCAAATTGTTGTAGGAACTTATATGATACAGTTGTATGCAAAAAAAAATTCCATGCTGTGTTGATTTTGTAAGCGTAAATAAGTGAACTCATCCTTCACAGCGAACACACTTCTGCACATTTTAATAAACAATAACTGATTATTCACTGAATTTAACATATTGGGGGAAAATAAAACCTAAAATGCAGCCTGTGTAAAAATGAAGATTATATTTTATGTTTAATTTTTTCCAATACGTTAGCCTTTAGCAAAAAATAGAAATTATGCACTAAAATTAATAAAAAGATGCCATATTTAAGCTTGTTGTCTATAGAGGATGTACAGCAGTAGGTAGGGAAAGTGATGTATGAATGTATTTCCAAAATAGAACAATTTGCTTTAAGACAATATTGACAAAAACAAGTATCTTTCTTATATATTGTGCTTTGTAAAGTTTGTGAAAATGTTGCAAAACTGCAATTTTATTCTCTGCGAGAATTTTCTTCTTGCGATTTTAATGAAGTTTAACATTGTCTTAGTTTTGTGTTTATGGGGATCTGTTGTTATGATGAAGTAAATGGGCTCATTGTGTGAATAATGTTGTGTTGAAAATGTTGCATGTTTGCAAAATTCACAAAAATTGCCATCAGTTACTGGATTTACATCATTTATTTATATACCCAATTCCAAAAACGTTGGGACAGTAAGTAAAACACAAATAAAAATAGAAAGCAGTGAATTTATAAATCTACTTTGACCTGTATTTCAACAAAAACAGTAAAAAGACAAGATATGCAAAGTTAACTTAATTTTTTTGTAAACATATGCTCATTCTGAAATTGATTCTTGCAACACATTCCAAAAAAAATTTTAAAATCCATCCAGGAAAGGCCTGAGCGAGGATGAGTCAAGGCTCACCACTTTGCCAGAAAGCGCATTCCTCTGCCAGGGGTTACAAAGATTTTAGGTATTTCACCTTCTCCACTGCGTAATATCATCACATCGAGAGATTCAAGGACTCCAGCGAAATCTCTGTGTGTAAAGAAGATGTTGAAAACAACAACTGAATGCCTGTGACCTTTGACCCCTCAGGCAACACTGCATTAAAAACCAGCTTGCTTCTGTGATGGAGATCACACATGGATTGGGAAAACTAAATGCTGCCACTGCATCTACAAATGCAAGTCAAGAATGGTTTGTGCACAGTAGAAGTCATATGTCAAAAACTTCCAGAAACGCCGCCAACTTCTCTGGGCTCAAACTCATCTGAAATGGACTGATGCTGTGGAAACATGTATTGTGTTCTAATGAGTCAACCTTTCAGACTGTTTATGGAAATAATGGATGTTATGTCTTCTGGGATAGAGAAGAAAAGGGCTATCCAGATTGTTCCAGCATAAAGTTCAAAATCCAGGGTCTGTCATGGTGTGGGGGGGCGGTATGAGTGGGCAACATGAAAATCTGTGGAAGCACCGTTAACACTGAACACATTTTGGAGCAACATATGCTGCCTTCTAGATGCGATCATTTTCAGGGACTTTCATGTTTTTTCTGCAAGACAACACCAAGAAATATTCTGCGTGTGATCTGCTTCAAAAACTGGATCAGTTTGTGTCTTCAGTCCCAAAAAGATCATCAAGTGCTGTTAAAGGGAAAGGTGATGTAACAGAGTGGTAAACATCCTCTTGTCCCAAATAGTTTTGGAATGTGTTGAAGGCATCCAGTTTGGAGTGAGCATCTATTTACAAAAAAGTAATGAACTTCATAAGATTGACGATCAAATATTGTGTTTCTCATTTTCAATTTAATTCAGGTCAAACTGGAATTAGTAATCATTGCTTCCTGTTTTTTTGTTTGTTTGTTTGTTTGTTTGTTTGTTTTTTATACACTATCCCTTTTTTGGAATTGGGATTTTTAGCACAAAACATGTTAATAAAATTGGGTTAAGATAAACAAAGATAAAACAGTTCAAAGAAATTAAAAACCATGTTTATGCATACATTTATGCTTACATTCTTGAAATTTGTGTCTAAAATAAACAGAAATAGAAAAGTTTTAAATGTAAAATTGTATGTAATCATACTGTTAAGTAGTGGAATGTGTCATCATTAAGGCATCTGAACTAATCAAGAGTTGGTAGACGGGGTATTAATAGCACAACTTCTCAGATTTCTAATATTTCTGATGGAAATATGTGCTTTTCCACAGTTTATACTACTTCACTATTTTTTTTTAATCAAGAAAGTAAGAAAAATGTTCAAATATATGTTTTTTGTGCTACTTTTTGCAGTGAAAGTGGCTCTAATTTATCTAAATGACAAATACAAAAATGTGTCATTTGCTAAAGAGTGAAGATGTGTCAGTGCTAAAATATAGTGATTCACTGCCTGACTGGCAACTCGCTGCAGCCCATCTTTATGCTATAAATAACAGCATGAATTAAACCCTGACAAGGTCAAGTGACGTCAGGCTGCGTTCAGGAACAAAATCATAATTACCTTTTTTTTTTCAATATGGAAGCTCAACCATTAGAGAAAATGAATCTTTGCAAAATTGAGAAGAGACTAAAACTAGGACTACTAAAGCGACAATGATGTAAAAAAGACTGAAGCTGACTGATAAAGTGTTTGTAATGTGTAACGGTAAGACTTTCTATGAATGTCACATTTGTAAGCATCTATGAACACATTCATAACATGTTATAATGTATTCGTAAGGCATCATAAACATGGCTACAAATATTTATAAAAATGCATTACATGTTATAGCCATGCTTATTATACATTATGAATTGTTAACATCATGCATTTTAAGTACTGTTCATAACAAATTATAAGAGCTCGTAGGCTGTATTTATCTGCTCTAAGTCCAGATTCCAGTGTTAAGAGTGAGGCTTCAAGTTGAAGTATTTACTGGAGAATTTACTGAAACACTAAAACACAAACAGTAAAGCACATTACAGGCTTCAAATGTCAGAGTTCAAACTAGTGCTTTTACCCAACGTGGGAAAGTCAATGTACACCACCGTTAGCTTGGCACTAACTTAACACTGCATATCCAATAGAATGCGAGCAGAAATGGGCAATACTGTATGTAATGTAAGTTGTGTTACAGAGTGAAGGGTTCTAGCGCTTGATGTTAGAACCACTGAGGGAACAAATTACAATGACAGCGCTCTACTATCTCGCCTCTCCCTCATTAGGCCTTCACTCCACAGTAACTCCACGCTCAGTGTGATGTCAGAGGAGGGTCAGGGGAGGGGCTGATGGGTACTTGGTTTGCTGTGATGTAATGTAACCTTTAAAGTGAGAGCGCTGGGTAAGAAAAGCACATTGTAGCAGTAATTCTAGGCTGGACAGCCTGTTTGGAGCATCTGAATGTTCAGGACTGAAGCACTGAAGATGCAGCTCTAACAGCACCAGCAGTGAGAAATAACTAATACTGGAAATCTCAGGGCTTAAATAAACTTTGTATTCGTCTTCAAGCAGGGACTGACGTCTTTGGCACTGACAGTATAACATGTTATTAACACTACTTATAATGCATTATATTAACAATTCATAATGTATGATAAACATAGCTATTAAGTGTAATTCAGTGTAGTTAATTTGGTAACACTTTCTATGAATGTCACCTTTGTAAGCATCTATAAACACATTCGTAACATGTTATAATGCATTCATAAGACATTATAAACATAGCTATAGATATTTATAAAAATGCATTATACATTATAGCCATGTTTATTATGCATTATGAACTGTTATCATAATACATTATAAGTACTGATCATAACAAATTATAAGAGCTCATAAGTTGTATTTGTCCACTCTAAGTAAAGTGAAGCGTACTGTACTAAAGCCTCCTCCAGTGTTCAGAGTGAGGCTTCAAGTTGAAGTATTTACTGAAGGATTTACTGAAACACTAAAACATTCACAGTAAAGCACATTACAGGCTTCAAGTGTCAGAGTTTAAACTAGAGCTGCCATCAGTGTTTTACCCAATGTGGGAAAGGTAATGTTCACCACCATTAGCTTGGTATTTGTCTTTACTTTACGCTCTCCAAGCTGGGACTGACTTCTTTGGCACTGACATTATAACATGTTATTAACACTACTTATAATGCATTATATAAACAATTCATAATGTATGATAAACATGGCTATAAAGTGTAATTCAGTGTAACTCATTTTTTATAAATATTTATAACCATGTTTCTAATGACTTATGAATACATTATAACATGTTATAAGTGTGTTTATAGATGCTTACAAATGCGACATTCATAGAAAGTGTTACTGTCTTTACTTTATGCTCTCCAAGCTGGGACTGATGTCTTTGGCACTGACATTATAACATGTTATTAACACTACTTATAATGCATTATATTAACAATTCATAATGTATAATAAACATGGCTATTAAGTGTAATTCAGTGAATTTCTTTTTTATAAATATTTATAACCATGTTTATAATGTCTTATGAATACATTATAACATGTTACAAATGTGTTTATAGATGCTTACAAACGTGGCATTCATAGAAAGTGTTACCAACAAAACAAGTAAATTTTCTAAACATCTTTCTTCAGGAGATTTTTTTTATTTCGTTATTGATGACAATTCATTACTCTGTAACTATTTTAGAAATTGTACTCCTGTTTCTTTCTCCTGAAGAATAAATCTTAAAATAGTGAATTAATTTTAATAAATACTCCAATCTAAAAATTTATTTTTAATAATGTGATGACCTCCAAGCTATAATAAATCTAAACATGAATTTGGATTAAGTGTGATCGTGTAAATCTGGATTAAATATAAATCTGGACCAAGTGTGAATCTGAGCAAAGTGTGAATCTTGACTAATAGTGAATCTGGACTAAGTTTGAACCTTGTATATGCATGATTCCATATTAAAATGTGAATTTGGATCAAGTGTGGATCTGGATTAAGTGTGAAGGTGTATTAAGTGTTAGTCTGGACTACATGGTCATTTGCATCAAGTGTACTTTTAAATTAAGTGTAAATCAGGACCAAGTGTGAATCTGAGCAAAGTGTGAATCTTGACTAATAGTGAATCTGGACTGCGTGTGAATATGGCTATGCATGATTCCATATTGAAATGTGAGTTTGGATCGAGTGGAAATCTGGATAAGTGTGAATCTGGAATACATGGTCATTTGTGTCATGCATACTTTTAAATTAAGTGTAACTTTGGATTCAGTGTGAATTCGGATTAAGTGTCAACCTAGACTACATGATACAAATTACCATGTATAAATCAAAAATAACTAATCTGGATTACACATTATATATGTGTATACTGTGAAATGTAAATATGAATTAAGTGACATTATGGATAAAGTGACTAAGTCTAAATTTAGATTGTGAATCTGGATTCTAAATCCGGATTAAGTGTGAAGAGGCTGATCTGGTTCTCACAGTGAGGAGGGACGCCGCTGTGAATACGGATTCTCCATGCAGCGGAACGTGATGTCCGGAGTTCAGTCGCTCCTTCAGGACCCGGCAACTTTTGGCATTTGCAGAGCGCCGGAATATTCCGAGAGTTTTAGGACCCTCATGGTACAGCACACACAGTATATCCTGTACACACACATGCATAGCATTATAATATGAAATCCACACATCATACACGCCATCAAAGGCGATTTTAAGAATGAAAATGAGTTACAGTACTGAGCCTCATTCAAGCTCACATGATTAAATAATTCATTTGACCTTCGCCGTGGAATGAATGCAGCATTGAGGGCAGAGCCCTGCTGAATGACAGCACCTCCACTAACGCATATGAAAATAAGTCGTATCTCATTAGCCTTTAGGCCTAATTCATACCTGAAACTGTCAACCCAAAAGCATCATCTGACATCTGGTGTGCCTCGCGCCCTTTAAACCTCTGACAACTTCAGGCCAGCTGTTAATGCTCTTGTAAATGTGGGAGCATCAGTACAGTGGAATTGATTAGCCACTACAGTACATATCAGTGCTGAACGAGAGTGGGGAAAAGTCACATTGTGATATTTTGAGCTGAACACTGTGATATTTGGACTTGGTGTCAGGAGGTTGCAAAAGGAATAAAAAAGAAGTGAGAAAATGTGCCCAGATAAAAATAGAGCTAATTATCCCTCCAGCAATGGAAAGGGTGAGATTAGAAGAGGATTTAAGCAGGAATTCACGGTTCCGCACTGTTCTTTAGTAAAGAAAATGGTTCCGTATAGAGCCATGACCACTTAAAGAACCACTTGCATGCTTCAATGGTTCAATTCATGGTGAAATTGTTCTTCAGATTGATCGTGAATGTGCTGTATGTGGTTCTACATAGCACCAAAAAGGGTTCTTCTATTGTTACAATGTGAAGCTTGATACAAAAAGAATCTATTTTGGTGCTATATAGAACCCTTTTCTAAAAGGTTCTATGCAGAAGCATTTACAGCACATTCTCTATCTAAGGAACCTGGTCATGATGCAAAGAACCCTTTAATCATGCAAAGGGTTCTTTGAGTGTTCATGGTTCAGTGCATAACCAATTTACTAAAGAACCCTTGGAGCACCATCTTCGAGTTTCTATGGTCTCCCATAGTGCTCCACTAACCATACTGCAAATTTTATACACTGTACACTACGGTTCTTTACTGGTCCTTTGTAACAAAAATGGTTCTACATAGAATTATGAACACTCAGCAAACCCTTTATGTGATTAAAGGGTTCTTTACATCGAGAATTTTGCATAGAGAATGTGCTGTAGATGGCTCTATATGGAAGCTTTTTGAAAAGGGTTCTATGTAGCACCAAAAAGGTTCTGCTATTGTCACAAGCTTGACATCGTAACAATAGTAGAACCCTTTTTGATGACATGTGAAACCATTTTTAAAAAGGTTCTATATAGAACCATATACATCATCAATCTGAAGGGCCATCTGACCAGAGAAAGAGTCATTTAAGCATGCAAATAGTTCTTTGAGGGTTCATGGTTCTATATAGAACCATTGTCTTTATTTTAGATACATCCACGATTGGTCAGGATGCTCCACAGTACTGAGGCTGTCATAAGCAAAAGTTTGGGCACCCCTAGTCAAACTCTACAGTTTGTTGATTTTTCACAGTGGAAATAAATTAACACATATTCCTCTATACTTACTGTTTATTGGCTGAGTTTAACACATTGGGGAAAACCTATATAAAATGCAGCCTGTGCAAAAGTTATAGCACATGAAAGTTTGCAGAAATATGGCAAGTTTAACTTTGTTCTCTGTAGGAAAAGTGTTATTTTCAACCAAATATGTAATTAGATCACCCCTTTTCAAATATCTGTATATAATATCACCTTTCTGTTCATGCCCTTTGATTAGACAAAGCTAAGTTTTAATTTTATCACATGCAACTCAGAATTCGTACATAAAAAAAAAAACAGAAAAAGCTGATCACTCATGACTTTTATTCATATTTTTCATTACTTAGTTAGCAAATGCATTTTTTATTCCCCTAAAAATGTTTCTACTTCGGTAAAGTGGATAACCTTTTTGTTTTTTTGTTTTTTTATTTCACCAATTTTATTTGATATTTTTCATTTCATAGTCTTTTTTTTCAGTATGTCAAAATACTCAGATAGGAACCCAGCTAGTGTATAATTTCCAGTTCAGTAAAGTAAAAAAATGTGTTTCTGTCCAAAAACTTGTGGGCTGCACTGGAGATGTGTTCAATGAAAAAGAGACTAATGCTTAACTTTAGAATGAGGAACAGACAATAAGTTATATGCGCCCATTTCAAATAATTGGTAGTCTGTACTGGTACGTTCTCCATGACATTGAAATTGTGCCATCCTTTCAGGCAGCCAATCACAGCTCAGCTCAGTGACCTTTGGAAAAATGTGTCAAAACTGTCAGATTTGTGTCACTTGTGGTGGCATCGTGGCTCGAAATGTAAATCGGGCTTCAGCTGAGTGAGAATGTCCCATAGAAGGTCATTGCTGTGTTTGTGTATAAAGGCTATAAGCTCTATCAGTGAGTGTAACTGTGATGATACATGTAGTATTGTCTATTATTTTTTGCTTCACCGAGATTCTTATAATGGTTTAGATCTTTATGCTTTGCAAATTAAAACTCAAAGGATTTACTTCATCAAAAAATGCTACTGTCACAAACAATTCATTCTATTGCATGATAATGATGTCAAGATCAAGACATATTTACAAAACTGAGAAGCTGCTGCTGTACTCAGAACAAAGGACTGGCCAGTCCAGAGTCCAGACTTCAACATCACTGAATGTGTTTTCTTGGTTCATATGGAGAACACAGCTGTAATCCATGCAGCATCACTAAAGCGTCAGGTCAAGGCAGCCTTGTGGCTACCATACAGCATATCTTAAGCACACAGCCTCCCTCAAGTGACTGGCCCAGGCAGCCTATAGGCTATCATACAACGTCCCTCAAATGTTCCTCCCAGGCATCCTCGTAGCTGCCATACAGCATCCCTCAAGGGTTCAGTCCAGTCAGCCTTGTAGCAACCATGCAGCGTCCCTCAAGCAACCGGCCCAGGCAGCCTCATAGCTACAGTACAGCATCACTAAAGTGGCAGGTCCCGGTAGCCACATAGCTGCGATGTTGAGTCACTTAAGCTGCCAGTCAAGGCAACCTTATAGTTGCCATGCAACGTCATTCAAGCAGCTGGTCCAAGAAGCTTTGTAGCTACCACACAGCATCCCTCAAGCATTCGGCCCAGGCAGCCTCATAGTGTCCATACAACGTCCCTCAAATGACTGGCCCTGGCAGTCTAATAGCTACCATACAGGTTCCCTTAGGTATTCTGCCCAGGAACTTCACGGCTACCATACAGCGACCTTCAGACTTTCTGCCCAGGCAGCCTCGTAGCTACCATACAGCGTCCCTCAAGCATTCGGCCCAGGCAGCCTCATAGATACCATACAGTGTCCCTCAAGCGACCAGCCCAGACAGCCTTATATCTACAATACAGCATCACCTTATATCACAATACAGCGTGGCGAGTCTAGGCAGCCACAGAGCTGTAATGTTGAGTCACTCAAGCGGCCAGCCAAGGTAACCTTTTAGTTGCCATACAACGTCATTCAAGTGGTCAGTCTAGGCAGCTGTGTAGCAGCAAAGCAACTTCATTCAAACAGCTGGTCCAGGCAGCTTTGTGGCTACCACACATTGTCTCTCAAGCATTCAGTCCAGGCAGCTTTGTGGCTATCATACACTGTCCATCAAGCATTCAGCCCAGGCAGCTTCATAGCTACAATATAGTGTTCCTCAAGCGTCGACCCGAGGCAGCCTTGTAGCTACCGCACAGCATCCCTCATGTATTTGGCCTATCAAGCCTCAGAGCTACCATGCAGTATCCCTCAAGTGCCCTGCCCAGGAAGCCTTGTAGCTACCATATAGCATCCCTCAAGTGACCAGCTGAGGCAGCCTCGTAGCTACCATATAGCATCCCTCAAGTGACTGGCCCAGGCAGCCTCACAATTACAATACAGCATCACTAAAGTGGCGGGTCCAGGCAGCCACATAGCTGCAATGTTGATCCACTCAAGTGGCCGACCAAGGAAAATTTATAGTTGCTATACAATGTCATTCAAGTGGCCGGTCCAAGCAGCCACATAGCTACCATACAGCATCCCTCAGACAGCTGGTCCAAGCAGATTTGCAGCGACCACAAAACATCCCTCAAGCATTCTGCCCAGGCAGCGTCACAGTTACCATACAGCATCTCTAAAGCATTCAGTCCAGTCAGCCTCGTAGCTACCACAGAGCATCCCACAAGTGACCGGCCCAGGAAGCCTTGTAGCTACCATATAGCATCCCTCAAGTGACCAACCCAGGCAGCCTCACAGCTACAATACAGCATCACTAAAGTGGCGGGTCCAGGCAGCCACATAGCTGTGATGTTGATCAACTGAAGTGGCTGACCAAGGCAAATTTATAGTTGCAGTACAACATCATTCAAGCAGCCAGTCCATCCAGCCTTTAGCTACCATACAGCATCCCTCCAATGACCGGCCCAGGCAACCTCAGAGCTACCATACAGCGTCTCTCAAGCATTTGGCCCTTGAGGGACGTCATAGTTACCATACAATGTCATTCAAGTGGCTGGTCCAGGCAGCTCTGAAGTAGCGACGCAACACCACTCAAGCAGCTGAGTCAGCAAGAAAACATCAAAACATGCACACAGACAATACAAAACAAATAAAAAAATACTTCATGGTATTAATTGCAGCTATTGCGCCAGCGTACTTGCACCAGAACACAAGTGGAGGGCAGCAAGCAAAGCAGCCGAGCATGTGAAGCAACAGTTCATCACGTGAGTCATGTATGTACTGGTTGTCCTTGAAAAATTTAATGGATCTGTACTCTACAATTTTCTCTCTTTTATTTTTTCCTGAGTTCTTTGCCGCTGTGCTCAATCTGTTGTGGTTGCTCTGTAATATAAGCTGAGTAGGTGGATGTATGAATACAGCAGTGAAGATTTGAGATATGGGTTTTTTAAGAGCACAGATTCAGGATTTCCATTACAGATTTAAAGGTGGCTGAGGTATAATACACCATGGGCAAGTGGAGGAAAGAGCAAATACCTGTTTTTCTTTATTGAACATCACTTTCAACAGACAGTAAAACCTACTTTAAATGGAGTTTTGGAATAACTGAGATTTAGGTGGGGGACCGTGCCTAAAGCCTCCCTCTTTCCAATTGAATGCTCTATAAATTTCCACCCCTACCTTTCATGATGAAGTTTTTATGATCCCCACCATCGCCTCATTTCCTCCCAGTTCCTCAGTCTTATATTAGTCCCACCACAGTGCATATAAAAGGCGGGTCCAGCTTTCTAGATTCGGGTGAAACTGCCCAGAACTCCAGCCCAAGTTGTCAATCAACCGTTCTTCATGTTCCACATGTTGAAGTCACAGTCCGAACTCGCAAAACGCTCAGAGCAATAGCTTATCCAAACATGCTAATGTGGCTACCTATGAATACGGTCTAATTTCTAGAATGCTAATCTTTCATTCATTAATTAGCAACATTAGCATTTCTGACTGAACCATTCCTTACAACGAAATGACCAATTGTAGCAATCATAAATGAAAAGAATGGAAATGGTCAGTTAAAGTTACTCTCTTAGAAAAAAGGTTCTTCTTTAGTAAAAGCAATGGTTCTACATAGAATCATTTCATCCTTAAATGGTTCTTTGCGTGATGAAATTGTTCTTCAGATTGATGGAGACTATACAACACAATGCATTTCTGATTATACAACACGTATAAGGTTCTATGCAGAACCTTTTTGAAAATGGTTTTAGCACCAAAAAGGGTTTTTCTATAGTTACAATGTCAAGCTTAAAACAACAGATGAACCCTTTTTGGTGCTATATAAACCAAAAACAACACATTCTCCATGAATCTGAAGACATTTTCACCATCCAAAGTCTCAAATGGTTCTATGTAGAACTTATGGTTCTAAATGCAACCATTCCTTTTTCTAAAGAACGCTTCAACAGCCATTGTTTTTAAGAGTGTCCTGAGGTCCTCACCATGATTGGTTTGGGCAGATTTCCATCCTGACAAACTGAAGCCAGTGGCTGGCCAAACAGCTTGTTGGAGGCAGAGTCAGAGTCGTTCTTTTCTTCTGATTGGCTGTTGTATCCCCTTCTCAGAGCCCAACCAATCAGAGATCTTTTCCTCTTGTGCTTCAGAGAAGAACCTGCAACCAAAAAATAACATTTACCATTTTTTTGTAATAACCTTCAACAAATCAACAAATCCCTGTTTTCAACAATGTAAAAAACTGCCCTATCTAAAATGAAGTTAAATTAAATAAAGTTAAATAAAATTAATATCCAGAATCAAGTTCTAATAAAATTAACTTCCAGAATAAAGTTCTAATAAATTTAATATCCAGAATAAAGTTCTAATAAAAATAACTTCCAGAATGCAGTTCTGATAAAATGAATATCCAGAAAGAACTTCTAATAAAATGAATGTCAAAAATGAAGTTTTAATTAAATTAATATCCAGAATGAAGCTCTAATAAAATTAAGCATAAGGTTCAAAACTAACACCCAGAATGATGTTTTGATAAAAACAAATTACTGGAAATAGATAATTACAGCATATTATTGATCATTGAATAGCTTGCTGCTCTACCCAAAGCAAGTAAAACTACCTGTTGTAAATTTTAATGTACAATAAAATCATTTGAAATAAAATTGGTTCCTTACTTTTGAATAAAATGTGTAATGTCAATTGATATTCTGACTGTTTTGTAGTTTCAGGGCTACATTTTTTGTATTATTATGTACAGACAAAAGCCATTGAAATCAAAATTAAACCAAACAACAAAAAATGTTGGTGCTTTGTCTCCAGCCAGAGATTGTCTGTTGTTCAGAGGCCTTTACTTCTACATTTGTTTTCTTTAGACATTCAGAAATACAATGGATCATAAACGCTGGAACAGTGGTGCATTCAGAAGGAAAATGAAAACAGAAAAAAGCGAGGGAAACAATTTTAATTAAAAAAATATTTGTATTGACTATTTTTTGAGCAGCCTTCCCAGAGTTATGTTGCTAATGAAATGGCAGAGTTTGGCAAGAATGCTATCCACAAAAAGCAGGCCAACAAGTGGAGCAACATCCAGGACCAATGAAATTACCTATAACAGCTGGATGGTTTGGATGATTGGTGAGACCAAGAGCAGCAAATTCCAATCCTGGTGCTATCAAATCATTGACAGTATTATCAAATCAATACTCAGTGAAAGAGGAGTGAGGAGAGACCCCCTTCCAAAACCGGACTGCAAAATACTCAGCCTTGGTTTGGTATGAAGCTATTATTGTTATGGGACAGCAGGGGGCAGGGAAGCAGACCCAAGTGCAAAGAGGAAAACCTGTTAGAAAGGATAAAATTAATTTATTGAGGTGATGCAGTATGAATTTGGTGATTGTGCTCATTGGAGTCGAGGTGGTTTAGAGTCAGGCTCGAAGCGCCATTGTACTGATTGGCGGTCCGAGAAGTTACTGTAGCGAAAACGGGAATAACACTTCGTTGAATGGGAAAAAAAATGGCGGGAAAAGGCAAACAAAGGGGACGCTGAAAGCAGCGTGTCAAACAAAGGCTGAGATAGATAAGTGAAGTCCTCTGTGATGAGAGGAATGTAGACTTTATGTTTCACCTGTTTGCTCTTTGTGAAGCAAACACTTTTTGTTTGGCTTGGAGTCGTTTCTTGTTCAAGCCTTCTTTTGGTCTTTTAAATAGTTTAGGGGCAATTTCTCTCTTTTGTTTTTCCAGCCCTCTTTTCTTTTCTAATTTTTTTTTTTTCCTTTTCCTTTTTGTCCAAATACCCACCTGGGCTAAGTACCGTACTGGTCACCCCTTTACAAAGGTGTGACAAAGGGCTGCTGTTTGCCACGGCCTTAAGTAGAGGAGTCCACAGGTGTGCCAGGTTGGGAATAATCAGCCTGAGGGCTTCTGATAATTGGAGTTCCCTGAACTTGTGGTGCCTCACCACCATGGCCCTCTGCTGGCGGCTGGCGGCACAGACTGGGCCCTTGCAATTATGAGTAAAAGAGGAAGTTTTGTGAATGAACTACTCAGGTGTAGATTGCCAAACAGACAGTTTCTTGACTGTGGTTACTGTACCTCACTGGGCTGGAAGCAAATGCAATGCCTGTGTTGTTTGGTTCTAGTGATTGGAAACACTCCATAAGAGTAGGAGATTGTGAAAGAAGTGCAGAGCAAAGATCGTGCAAAATCAATATCAACTGCTTCTATAGATTCTGACCTGATGAAACAAATAGATGGACTTCTTGGCGGAGACAAGACTTGCTTTCAGGTGGGATAACGAATTTGTAGGTAACTTCTTTGGCATATTGGAACGAATGCCACAATTTGATCCCTTCCACACTAAGCACATTAAAAAAAATTTGGCAGGAAAGGAAGAGGCACAGTGTCATATTTGTTATCCACGATAATAGGAGCTATCGAATTAATGGGAAAGAGAACCAAACAAGCAATAACAAATGAGATTCAAGATTTCTGCAACTGCTGACTCCCCAGATTTTTCATGTGGACCATTTAACGTTCACATTCAGGCTTGTCAACAAATCTGGAGTAGTTGTTGAATGTTTTCTGACTTTTGAGCCCATTGGACATGATGAAAAGTCTAGAATTAGAGCTTCTGAACTGTCGGAACCAGTCAGATGATAACACAAGCAATTTGACAGTAAGGTACAACTTGGCTACAGGCGCACCTAAAATGAAAAACTCCCTGTTAAGTACCCTGTGAAGTGCGTTCCATTAATCTAGCCAGCATAAACACTGTTGATAGAAGTAGCCCAGAAGCTGAATATTTTTTTGACACAGATGGGAAAAGGTTTTCTGTAATACAGATGCCAAACTGACAGTGAAACGTTATCAGGTACTCAGTGGAGCACTCGAGCTGATTCATCCAAGGTTCTCTGGAAATATTATGCACAGAAACAAGCTGAAACTGCTGCACTCAGTGCCAAAATGGACTCTTTAGAGGCATTAATGGCAAATCCCTGGGACACCATACTCAACCGCTTTCAGGCTATGAGTTTGCAATTACAAAAAACAGACACTGGCATCTCCGCAGCGGCGTCACTCTTCTCGTCATTGCGGGACTTTGTGGCAGCACTGCGAGATCTGTTGGAGATTTTTGAAAGAGCTGCCTTGAATGAGTCAGGTGTCTCGCAGTCCTACAAACATCACCTTCAGCAGAAGAGAAAGCGAAAAACATCTGTGGATGAGAGCTCAGAACCAGCGGTCACATTTGATGGAATGGAGATGTTACCGATAGAAATACTTAATGCGATCATAGATGCTTTTAAAACCACTTGGATGCCTCCAGCCACCTGACCAGTCTCTTTGGTGTTCTGTTTATTTCAAACAATGTGCTGAATGGTGACATCATGGAAAAGGCACATGTACCCTTTAACTATGTCGGACTTGGATATGAACTCGGCAAAATAGTTGATCCTGTGTGAATCTGAAAAGTGCCCAACTCAGATGCTCCAAACAATGCTGGTACTTGACTTGCGGTCAGCTTTTACATGGCACGTTGGACTTTTCTAACTTTGCCAGTAACAACCTGCCAGAGAGAACTTTCATTTTCCCGCTTGGCGAAGATAACAAATGAACTCAAGAGCACCAAACACGTCTAACGCCACAGAACCTGGTTTTCGACCCAGTTCTGGACAACAGGAGGAAGGCAACAAAGAAACCTCTATACGGTGGGCAATATATGGTTTCATTTTTCTAATTGGTTGCTTTGATGTTGAATATTAGTGCATTAACTGGACAGAGCAGATAGAGCAAATGGAGGAAGTGCATTTAACTGAGATACTGCTGGGAATACTTTTATTTTCTAGTTTTCTGGTATTTTTTTCTTTGTTTTAGTTGTTATTTATTGTTAAACAGTATCGATGCTGAAGCATTCTTATAAGAAGTCAACTACATTCTGTTCTCATGGTTTGAACAATTCCAACTAATTGCCTTAACGACACCCCCCAAGAAGGATTTTGCCTTCCTGGGACAGAACACTGAGACATTTAAAATAGGATCTGAGTCCCTGAGAAAGGCAACTCTGTACTTTACAACAGGATGCAATTCTACGAGACCACTGACTTGGGTCTTTTACCATGGTACCAAGAGTCCTGGGGGGGGCGTCAATAACAGAGTTGTGTGTCTAAACATCTGTTTAGACTGGGTGATTGTGGCACAGATGGTCAGAGTGCTCTGAATAAACATCATCGTTTCTCCAAATCCTGGTCTCCTGACTCTCTGTCTGTGGCAAGATCAAAGGTTTACATCAACGCTGAATGATGGAGTGGTTGCGTTTAGTATCCAGCGCTCATGATAGGCTACAGTTCTTCAATTCCAACAGGATATTTTGCAGAATGTGTGATTGGGTACTGTTGTCTACCATGTGTGGGGGTATATTTTGTGACTCAGATTGGCTTGACTCAGAAATGTAGGAGCCCAGAGGCTGAGCAAGACCATGATCCATCCCTGAATAATACCCAGAACAGTTTTCATCCTTGGTGCTTCAGCTGCAGCATGCACACTTCACATCCAGCTCGTATCTGTATTAGCCAGTCTCCATGGCTCCTCTAGCGTTTGCTGCAGAAATGTTAATTTTCTTCAAGTATCTCCAAATTCTGCAGCGACAACAAAGAGACTGTGCCTTATTATCTGGCATGAAGATGAAAAGACTGCTTAGACTAGCTGATAACCCACAATACTACAGCCCTCAGTCTGAAGAGCAAAGCCTCTTACTTTGAAGGATAATTAAGCTGCTGACTTTTTGGATTTATTTTTAATATCTTATAAAGACAATTGGTCTTAAATTCTAATTCAGTCAATCTCTAATGCCCTGTAACTCTGTCTCCATCAGAAATGTAGGTTGCAGTTTTGTTTCTGTCAATGGAACAAAGCATTTTTCTTCAGCATTAGAGGTGAATAAATAGTCTTGGTTATTATGCACTTGTAGTTCATTGAAACATGTGGAGTTAAATGTAAATATAATTCACTAACACTTCCAATAGTTAAGTGATAACTCTAGAGGTTTAAATGTTTGCTTAATTAAGTTATTTAAAGGATCATTACATCATCATTTGCATCTTTATGATATTTTTGGCATGAAACGAACAGAAGGAACCAGAAGATATTACTAAATTATTATAT